CAGTAAACAAAATAAATTTAGATGTACTTATAAACATTTCTATACGCATACTAAATCAATTCCAATAAAGGCTATGCAAACGAATGAAACATACCTTAATAAGGAATAGGATTACTTCTAATTCTCTTATATAGTTTAAAGCAATATTCTGCACGTTGAATTAAATATTTAAAAAGGCAGTAAATTCTCTAATAAAAGAGAGTTCAATGGAGGATCAAAGACCAACACTGAAGGCTAGGCCATTCAACTCTTTTCCAATTCACATGCTGACAACTCCATTTTAAGACATATTTCTCTGGCTTTTATTCTTAAAAGGACTTAAACGCATTATACTCTGATCTCCCTTTTTTTCACGTAGTCTACGCCGAACAGTAGTCTTTGATATCGACCTTTTAGTTGTTGAAGTTGCCATTGTCTTAGAGTTGATGGGGTACTTGTCATCAAACGGCTTCGATGACCTTTGGGTGACCAGCAATAGGTGTTCCAACACCGACTCACTCATTTGGCAGTTTTCTAAACACGAGAATTTATAGAATGATCTTAAGCAGAGATAATAACCCCATTTTTTATAAAGATGTCTTGCTTCAAGAAGGCCAACAGTACATCAATATTGAAAGTAATACACTTGTTTATTTTGAGTCATGATTTTCATCTAAGAAAAGATTTTATAAAATAACTTTTATTTAAAACTCATAAATTAATTAACTAAATGAAGAAAAATATATAGTTTAATAGAAATATATGTGACAGAAACAAGAGATTTAATAATTCTGCTTAGAAAATTTATGTACAATTTTCTGACACGAATAATAAAAGTGTGCAGCACCCTCAATAAATTTATAAAGATAACTTTGTAGAGAGAATTATTTAATCGCTATGTTCCCATTTAAATTATGTAATAAATTGTTTTTCTTCTCCTAGTTTATTAGTCCAAAGGGGCTTTGTCCCTGAAAGACAATTGTTTTCGTTTTGCGATTTTGCGTTGAATCACTATAAACGGCGAATCTCTTTTCAAACTGCTGCCATCAAATGTTAGAGTCCTGCATTACTAATATGGGCATGTGGAAGAACAAATTTGAAATTTGGAATTTTTTTATTATCGATTTCATATTTTGTAAAACTTTAGCGAGTTTTGATTAACAAACTCAAGGATTTCAAAGCAAGCAATGGCAACGTTGTTGTAATTTTATTTATCTGTCTATTAACTTTCAAGGCACGTTCTTCACTAAATCATTCAGTTGAAATATAATTTTTAACTATGAATAATCACTCTTTCACTCCCAACAATCCTGTTACGTTAAATGGTTGAATAAATCCATAGATTTATGAAAGAATCAGAATTTTTTTTAAATCTCACATGAGCTTCATTTGAAAGATTGCTTAAGCGTGCAGAATTTGAGCTTTAGTTTATCAGGATGGGACGCAATATCTTAACATTCAAACTGAAGAATCGATAACCCTACTGTTTCACATCGCAGCATATTTTTTAATACATAAAATCCCCCAATTAATATCTTTTTATCATTCTCATTTTAAAAGAGTCAGAAAAGTCTGTTTTATAATCAGTGAATCTTTCAGAAATTTTAAAATCAAAAGCGTCAAAAAGTGGAAAGAAATCGAACGGTTTCCGAAGTTTCTCGAAAATATCAGACATTAACGTGTACACTTTCATTCAATTTCCATTTAAAAGATTTTTTACCTCTATAGGTAGTAGACTTCTGAGATTTTGGGTTTGTTTGCTAACCGAAAATACGCATAAAAAAATCCTTTCACATTAAATTTATAAAATGAATATCGAATTTTAAAAGCATCTTTTTTCCAGATTGTATTGCAATTCACAAACAGTGTGTGTACAGGGGTTGAAATCTATAAATTATCGTGACGTGATTTAAAGCGGAGAACACAAAGAGTTAATTAAGTAAAGGCTTATAATAATAAAATGAATCCATGAGAAGAGGATAAAAAAAAGAAAGTAAAACAGCAGCTTAATAAGACACCTTTTACAACAAAAATGAATTTGTGGATTTTATAATGATAACATAATGTTTAATAAACTGAATTTTTAGATTTAACATACTGAAATTTAAAATTATCTCTTTTAATCTAAAAATTAAAGGAGAACTTCATTAAAAAATTTTTAAATCAGAAACAACTGAAAAACAGTTATACTCAGAAGATTCACTAATATTTACTTAAATAAAAAGAATAATTAGAAACTGCTGTTATGAATCAATTGCGTCATTATGCGCCATCAATATGCGTCACTTGTGATCTTTGGAGCACATTTTAGTTCTTGTGCAATAAAAAGTATGAATTTAGTTGAAATTAAGTAATTTAGTTAAAATCAAAACAATCGAGCTGCTTTAAAAGTGCAGTAAAGTAATTTCTTTTTTACTTAATCATCGAGATAAAACGTTCTTCACGTCACCCTAAAAAAATTATAAGCATTTCAAAAGTTATATTGCAGGATTTATATTAGTTTATAAATTTATTAAATTATTTGGTACTAGTCGGTTTTGAAAGCCGTAAAAAATCGCCAAACTATTGTTGATGCCAGCGCTGCCAAAAATAATTGCGGCAACCCTAATGCAAGAAAGGAAGTATAATAGTAAATAACTTTCTAAGATTGATGTTTTAATTTAGATGAAATGTTAATTTCGTATAATACACTTTTATTATTATAATTTATATAAAATCTGATGTATACACCACATGACTTCCTTGTAAGGAATATTAAATTATACGCATTTTTTCTTGCATTTCATTTAAACTTATTGGATTGAATTAAATCTACTTTGCCGACATCGCATAAACCACAATAGAATAAATGCATTCTTTAAAATTCACTCTATTTGCTTACCATAGCGACACTCTGGCGCTAGGTTCACTTAACAGTATCATATTTCGTTCATATTATAACTCAGAATGCACAAAATTTATATCGTTTAAAGAATTATCTAATCGTTGCCCACATTTTCTATTCAAATACTATAATAAAGTTAGAACTATGTATAAAAGAAAATTAAGCAAACAAAACAAGAAACAGTTTTTCACAGACGATTGAGTACTTATCATTCAATTAATTCAGTTTTCATTTCGCGACAAGGCAAAAATGCATAAAAACTCAAAATATCTGTATTAAAAATTACGAAGTAAATCTTAAACACTTATTTCCTCGAAAAAATTCCAGAAAGGATTAAGCATGATTCAATTCGCAATAATAAATGAAGGCGTTATCTTTGTTGATCCGAAGCTAAGTTTCTCTAGATTGGCAACAAATCCACTATTCTGCTGTTTCAAATGTAAACAAGCAACGGCCGCCATCAAAAACATTATTAGGCTTAGCGGCCCTTAAACAACTTTAAAATTGTCGATAATTCTAAAAATATTGCAGACAGATTTACTAAAGGCATAAAATCCTTAACCGGAAGATAAGAACAACATAATTCAATCATTTTTAAAGCAAAACAATTTACAAACATATAAGAGTAAAGAAACTGAGATCACTGAGCCGGGTAACAGAGGGGATATATATATAAATATATTTATATACGTTTGGTGCGGCCGATTGCAACCAAAATACGAGGTGCACATGTACATGTTATAGCAGCCCTATATACAAAATTTCCACGTTCTGAGGCTACTCGTTTTTGAGTTATGCGAGATTCTCTTCAGAATTAATTTTAAAGCAGTTTTATAATTTTTTTGGAGGAAAAGAGTCTTTTATTCTGTCTTTACGTACAGATATCACTCAAAAACATCGTTAAATTTCATTCGATAGTGGTCAAAATTGATATTTTCGTTGAAATATGCTGCCTGAAACTTTTCGCGATTACAGTACTTCCTTTTTACTTCGTACAAGGAAGTAAAATGGCTGAACATGACTGAAGGGAAGCATAAGAGTAAATAACTATTTCAGATTATTTTTTATAATTTATATAAAAATTGCTAAACTGAATAGATGCCTGCATCGCTATTTCGCTACCGAGTTATCGCTAAAGCATAATTTCATCTCGTTGGTTATTCAAACATAATTTTCTATAATGAATGATGCCTTTTCTATGAAAAAAATTCTCGGTGAAGTGCAAAATCACCCACTAATTTGTTTGCCGCTTTTTACCTTCTAAAACCTTCTAAAGTGACATAGCATGAAAAGCAAATACAAAAGCACAATCTGAAATTTTACTGTGAAGAAATCTAACTAATGAAGTAATCTGACTAATAACCGCTGAAAAGAAAGCCGCTAAAAGCAATCACCGCAAATCCGGAAATACAATCCCTTGGAATTCAAAATCGAATATTATTTGTATAGTTTGAAAATTATTCAACGTCTAAAAGTTGATATTAAATTGTTGAATAAAACTCTAGAAATTCTTCAAGAAAATGGATGAAAAATATAGCATCCTCAATTATTGATATTGTGCTATAATTTACGTTAAAATCTAGAATAAACTAAGTTTTTGTTTACTTAAATATGGGAAAGCACTCGAGGGCTATCTACCTACTAATAGAGGGCCATTAAAAAACGATGGCAGATATTTACTTACGTTATTAAGAAAAGCATATATATAATCATATATACACCATTTGTTAAATAAGGCATTAAAATAATCAATTTTTCTGTGGGCAGAAGTGAAAAAGTTTGAATAAGGAACTAAAAGGATAATTTTTAAAAAAATACAAAGTTTCACCTCCCTCAAAACTAAAATTTAATTTAAGAGATTAACTCTCTATCAAATGTTTTGTTTGTCCTAAATTAGCAGACATTAAGATTTTCCCGTTTTGTTTAATCTGACATGTAAGCAGTTAGAGAAATTGAAATACTGAAATGACAGTTGATGAATAATGCATTAAAGTAAAATGTGAAGTTAATTTTACTTAAAAAGAATGTAATAAGAAGAGTATTTTGGCATGGATTATAATTTAACTGTTTCGTGTTACTTAATGAAAACATTTTTCTTCCGAGTAAATTCAGTTATTTTTAAAGATGTTTTACTTACTTCAGTATCTGGTGACACTTTTTAAGAGGTTCGACAATCAACAAGAGGACTTTCTCGTCTCGACGACAGACGTTGACAACAGAGAAGCGAAAGCTTTTACCGAATTTTGAGAATGAGGTCACACAGATTCACGAACCGTACATCGTCATAACTATATAACACTGTTATGACCGACATGAAGAAAATGGGTGTGGAACGTTAATAGAGAAAGTGCCTTCCGTCTCGCCTGCATGGAAGAGAATGCAAAATCTTTTATTATGATGAGCACACAAGAAGAACAAAATTCTGTTGTAAGAATTGTTGACATAAATTACATTCTTCTAATTGGAAAAATAGAGCTTGTGGTTCAGACGAATATGAATTGCAGTTTCCGTCCACATAAGTCTTGATATTTCCTGGAATGTGACAGTGGGATATACATTCACGTAAACGGCAAATAATTAGTAAATGTTATTAAATACAGCATATTTCAAATGTCGAGAAAAATAATAAAATAATTTGGAATTTTCCCTCCATTTTAAATATTGAATTACCTAGTCATTTATGGTTACATAAATAAAAAGCGTAATTAAAAAATAATACATAATTAAAAACAAAACATAATTAAAAAGCGAAATAAACACTCTCTGAACTGCTTAACCTATTTGTCTTTCCGCTTAAAAGCTGAATGATTAGTAAATCCTGTTGGCACAATCTTTACTTGAATAAAGAAGCAGTATGTGATTTATGAATAAATTTTTATACTTCATTTCCAATTGTAATCACTTGATTTTTATTGCTCTTTAAAGCATAAATATTACGAAATCTATCCAAATTATAAAGTGATAACACTTAATGACAAGCTGCAAAGTTTGAGACAAATTTCTCAGGTTTGAAGGATTCTGAGATTCTAAGGATTAGTTTCAGGCAAATTTTAGAATTTAAAGAAAGGGATAAGATACTAGTTATTAGATTCCTAACTGTAAGTCTAACTAAATAAGTCTTTAAAACTTTTCCTTATATTCTCCGAAATATTTATTTTTATTTCTGTAATAGACTTTTACTATACATAACTTAGAACGTTTCAAGTCTGTTAACTATTCTTTCATAAATTCCATGTACAGCTTATCCGTGGACACCAGGGAACAAAGAGCCTTGACTCACTTTGGCATCAAAAGTTTGTATATAATTTATGATTCCTCCAGAATTTAAATAACCTTCCAGACGCGGGATCCGTGAATCACCTTTTATCCCAAATACACGATGGGAACGTTCTTATGATGTTGGCAGAAATAGGGATTTACGATGCGATCAGTTTTTCAAGAAGAAGAAATATGATTTTTTTTTTTTTTTTTTTTTTTTTTTTTTTTTTTTTTACGCTTTTATGAATTTTGTACTCACGATCAGAGGGTTAAGAATAGCATTTCGTTGGCAAAATAGATGTGTTACTGACGTTTATGCCCCAGACGTTTAGGTGATGCACTACACGAAATTAACGCTGTGGACCTTCATATTCGCATGATATGTAAACAAATTCAAATCTTTTTGTACCCACCTTGCTCTATTTATTTTGTACCTAAACCACTTAATTTCACCTAATTATATACTCTGCCTCTATTTGTACCATTTTATCTCTTTTTGCTCTTACTAATTGCTTAAAATAGTTATTATGAAACCCTGATGGGGACTCTATATAATACTTGTACGGCCTATTAAATTACGCATATATTTTGCTGCGCTTCATTTAAACTTATTTTCTGGAATTTCATTTGAGACAGATATATTTCTCATTCAATCAATTCAGTTCTCACTTCGAACGAAAGCAGCAATACATAAAAACGTGAAACATCTTCATTAAAATTTGTAAAATACCGAAAAAACATTGTAAAATTCTAAAATACAATATGCTGTAAAAATAGTTTTAAAATCAATTTTCGCAATTGAAATTAGAGTTTCTAACCGAAATTAAGCAAATCGGCCAACAGGCAGGAAGACCAAATTTTGGTACACAAAACTGAAAGTAGCTTTTGGTCGCACTTTGAAAAAAGGCACTAAAGTTGGTGCACGTACTGATTTTAATTCACTATTCTACTAAGAATTTTAAAAGTAAACAAATGACTGCCTCGTTAAGCTTAGCACCATTTAAGTTTTAAATTGTTTTTAATTATACAATTATTGTATGCAGTTTCACTAAATGCATAAAACTCTAAAGCGGAACATAAGAACAGTATAATAAAACAACTTTTAAAGCAAAAAATGCGCAATTTAGCAACATATAAGAATAAAGGTACTGAGCTCACCGAGCCCGGGAACAAGGTGAGGAATATATATGTAATAAAAGTAAATTTCAGAGAAGTATTAATGAAGGAACGTTGAGACGTAGAAGCATAGATCCATTGATGAATTCATTTTAATTCCTTTTTACAATCCTTTTTTGAAATAAAGAGGAAATAAAATTGTATTCTGTAAATACATACAATGTCACGCAAAAAAGTATCACTCAAATTGATTAGAGAGCGGTGAAAATGGATATTTTCGCTGAAAAATGATACCCGACATTTTTTCTTTACTCCTTTACTTACTAACTTTCCTTACTTCCTTTACTCCGTACAAGGAAGTAAAAATGATATATATTAGGGTTTAAATGAGCTTCCAGTTAGTTTAACTTCGTTGCATTCATACAGTATAACTTTATCACACTGTTTAATGCTTTTAATACTAAATCAAAATTATTGCTTTTTTTATTATACTAGTTTAACCGTTTCAGTCCAGCGATCTGAAGCAACGGAAATTATACAATTAACTACATTTTATTTTACAAATTCTTTAACGGGACAACTACTTTTAATTATTTTTAGGAAAGGACTGGAAGGAAAAAAATATGTTTTAGAGCATTTTATATTTCAGTGCCTGAACGAATCTTATTGTTTAACATTCAATACAGATAATGCAATATACCTTACTTCTTTCCCTCAGTTATTCTGAAATATGTTTATATTACTTTTGGTATGCTATTTATTTTTCAGTACTGATATTAACTCAAACATCAATTATTTCATTATAATTATTAGCTCAAATATCAACTCTTTCTTTTTAATTTTATTTTATTAGCTCGAAAAGGGCTATTTGTCCTGAAATGGGATTTTCCGTTGGTTCACTGTAAAAGGAGTATTACTTTTCAAATTGTTGCAACCGAAGTTTATCGCCGTGCATTATTTTTAAAGAAATGAAATAATGAAGAATCTGCAGCTGTGTATGTATGTTCCTCGCATTACCTAAAAACGATGGTACTTAGAGCCATCAAATTTTGAATAACGTAGTCTTCTCCCCGATGTGTGCACCTGGAAGCCCCAATTTTGAATTTCGAATTTATTACTTTTTATTTCGTAAAAAATTTATTAAAACATTAGTGAATTTTTTAATTAAAACAAACTCAACGATTTGAAAGCGAGCAGTGGCAATGCTGTTCGAAACAAAAATTTTTATCTCCAGTGCGCGAAACTATTGTCATTCGGAAAAATGTAAGATATTTATCGTTCAGTTTTTAACTAACAGAATCGGCTCTATGAAAGCAATGTGTTGCTGCGCCTAGAAATAAAATACTTTTATCTTCCACGCATCACCTTTCGCCATTCATTAGCCTATAATCTGCAAGGTTATTGATATTAAAGTACCCCGTCAAAACAGCCCACAACTAAACAGCCCCGACAAAATAGCCCAAGATTAAATAGCCCCAAACTAAATGGCTCCCAAAAGAGATAACCTCGACAAAATAGCCCCGAAGTAATAGCTAAGCTTTGTTATATAATTATTTAAAAATTAATTATATTAAAATATATTAGTAAATATTAGTAAAAAATGAAATTTGACAGTTGAAATATTTATTAAAAGCGCATTTTAAAAATTTGATACGCACATATTAAGCAAAATTCTAAATGCGATTTGATAATTCTTTACACGCCTTTAAGATTTCTGTTCTTTAGCACATTCATTACAAAAATTACATTTCAAGGTTATGTGAAATACTAAGAAGAAAGCCCGTATATTCGATATTTGCATAATTTTCCACTAATGCTTCCAGGCGTCGATTCAGTTGCGCATACTTAGCATATGTTGCGAATACCTGCAGTAAGGCGTGTGAAACGGATTTTCACCATATCTTGCTGTTTACGGAGATGATTAATGAGTTTGTAGAGGGATAGATGATGACAATCTACAGTTTGCTGTTATGTCCTGTGCTATCCTTCTACCGAATTATTTGTCCTCGGAAGACCATTGACGACGCGCTAATGAACGTTCCCCCACATATGTATTGCAAATTATGGTTGGGGTCGGCGGTTGCATCTTACTCGCCTTATATCCGTATCTTTAGGGTAATCGATAATGGGAACTAATTCTTTTGGGTAATTTTAAATTAATGCTTCAAAAACTCTGATAACATCATGCACTGGTACAAAACTCAAAACATTTTTATATAAATACGCACATTTTCATTATTTACATAAGCTTCTGCCAAATTAAGATCGTGTACCTTTCGCCATAAGCACTGTTCCAGATGAAACAAATATGTGAAACGTAATTTTGTAAAAAATGTGGTAAGGAATAGAAACATTGTAAGAGAATATCTTTTTTTATAATGACTATTTAAGCAACTGGCTTCGCCAGCTCCTAATTTTTAAAGAAATAATATAGCGAATATAAAAAAATGTATGATAACCTCTAAGAATCTATCGAGACTTCTAAAGATATGCTGTATTTAAATATTTTATGACTTTTCTGTTTTCTGTTGAGAAGAACGTGATATTTAGTAAATAAAGTCAAGACATAAAAAGTTAATAATAAAAATGAAAAAAAAATTGTTATCCATGTAACTAAGAAAACTGAATATTGATGTGATGAACAGAGAAAATACTAAAAAAATTATAAAAAATGAATACTAACACTTAATACTGCATATGGAATTCTAAACATATGTTCCATGTAGGTTTTAAAAATTTTGTGATTTTGTTGTTCAACTGTATGCCACGCAAGCGCGAAAAGCCGATACTTAATAATAAAGTAAAAAAAAAAAAGAGGGTTAACCCGAGTGAGTGCAAGAGCAGACTGGTGGAAGGTCAGCGAAAGCGTAAAAAACCATAACAAATTCTTTTGGGAAACTGTTAAAACCTGAAAATTTTCAGATTTTTTTTTTTTTTTTGTTTAATTATTGATTTAT